TTGACTGTATCGGGACCGATACATTATTATTCAAGCAAAACTATTAATTTATCGATATTTTACTATACGTATGTTTTCACTAATGTTATATACTATTTAGCGATATAAAATTTTATTCACAAAATTAAAATTTTAAAAGTCACTTGTAATTAGAACTTAGAACAATTTATATATATATTTTTTTTTTGTTGCTAAAGCATTAATTGAGTATCATAATTTAAAAGTTCTTGACAAAATCTTCATAATTCTATCATTGCCGACATAATTATTTTATAATTATTAATGTTTTCGTATTATTTAATAACATTTTGTTGCTAATTTTTGCCATTTTAAAAAGAAATAGAAAAATAAGAGACAATTAAAGGAGAAAAATCCATGGTGTAAGCAAATGTGGGACCCAGTCTGACATGTCTTAACCAGAGTGGGCCATTCTGCCTCCTCAGATATGGACTAAAAGTGTATATGTGGCTTAGCCTATAAATTGCTGCCACGTACAGTAATTGTTGGGTTAGTGCACGTGCTCTGTTTTCTGTGATTGTGATGGAAGTGGCAGGTCCCTGGAAGAAATTTGTGTTCGCATTAGACCCCCCATAACTTCCTTGAATTCTCACTTTAACCCCGAAAAACGATAATTAATTTCGTAAAAGGTGAGATGGATATTTTTTTGGCTGCGGCTATATGCAAGACTAATTCCACTTGTGCAAGACCAAATTAAAAATTTCAATGTGTAAATACTATAATACCCTTATTTATTAAAAAAATAAAAAATTCCAAATATGCAAGACCAAAAATTCAAAAACACAAAAAACCCTATCACAAGACCACAAAACCACAAGATCAACTATCATCTTCTCGATCTTCCAAAACCCACAAGACCTTTCTCCTTCCTCCTCCATTAACCCACAAAACCTAGAAATTCAAAATCATCAAAACTCAACAAATCTTACAAAGATGGCAAGTATGGAGTCAGGAGACATCAAAATAGAAGATTCTACGATGGAAGAATCCAAGAATGTATGCATTTACGGGATTTTTTAGCTAGAATATCGATTTTCCAAAAAAAATCCCGCGCAAACGAATTCGACTTGTACAGGTCGAATTTTACAGCTAAAAATCGACATTTAGATGTCGATTTTGAGGTATAAAATTCGACATTTGAATTTGTGCTATAAATTCGACATGTCAATGTCGATTTTTACCTATGAAATTCGACGCATAAGTGTCGATTTGTAGCATAGTTTTTCGACACCTTGGTGTCGATTTTTGTTTTTTTCTCATTATTTGTATTTGGTCTTAGCTTACATGAGAAAAAAAGCCAATTTAATTTATGGGCATATTTGTCATTCCATCTTAATAAAATAGAATCTTTTGGAATCTTTCTTTAATTTGGTCTG